ACCATCTGCATTCTCATCTGTATTGTATAAGAGTTCCAGTTGTTCTGCACTGATGAAATATCTGGGTTTGTTTTGTTTTTCTGTTTGTCTGTTTTCCTTTGGATATATCTTCTTGTAGTTTCAGTTTGCATTTCCCTAATGACTAATCACAGGGAGCATCTTTTTATCTATAGCAGGATGTCGGTAGTTGACCACATCCGTATATTGACCACCTTCTTACGTTGACCATTCATATCATTTCTTTGATAAAATACCTTTTCAGTTTTGTCCATTTGAGTTTTTATTATGTTTTAAAAATATATGTATTCTGGATACATATTTTAGTTATCTATTGCTCTGTAACAAATCACTTCAGAACTAATGGCTTAAAAGAACATTTATTATCTTACAGTTTCTGAGTCAGCTTAGCTGGGTCCTCTGGCTCTCAGTCTCTCACAAGGTTGCAATTAAGGTGTCAGCTGGGACTGTAGTTACAGTTAAAGCTCACCTGGGGACAGACACATTTTCAGTGTCAGGTAGCTTTTGAGAGGATGTAAATCCTGAAGGGAGTGAATTATTGTTGGACTGTGGGCCTCATTTCCTTACTAGGCATTGGAAAGAGTCTTCCCACATGGCAGAGTTCCTCACCTTTCTATAGAGTAACTTACAACATGCCAGCTCTTTTTAGCAAATGAATCAAGGAGTAGAGAAAGAGAAGAAGTGTGAAGATGATGATTAACAGGTTCCTCCAAAAATCCATGCCTACCCAGAACCTGTGATTATGGTCTTATTTGGAAATAGGGTCTTTCTAAACCTAATCAAGTTAAGAGGAGGTCATACTAGACTAGAGTTTGATTTAATTGGTGTTTTAAGAGGAATATTTGTACAAAGAATTACATGTGACAAAGGAGACAGAGATGAAGTGATACACACACAAGCCAAGGATGCCAGGGATTGCCAGCAGTCACCAGAGGCTAGGAAGAAGCAAGGAAGGACCCTCCCCTGAGCTGTCAGAGCTTGGCCCTGCCAACAACTGTGATTTTGGACTTCTGTCCTCCACAACTATGAGAGAATAACCTTCTGTCCTTGGAAACCACTCAGTTCTTGGTAAGTTTTTCCAACAGGCCCAGAAAGCTAATTCATGTCTTTATAATTTAAGAAACATCCCATCACTAATTTTTGTTCATCAATAGCAAGTTATTAGGCCCAGCCCACACATGAGTATACATTACCAGGAGATAGGAATCACTGGACAACCATTTCAGAAGTAGTCTGCCTCACACAGGACTACATTCCTGACCAACACCTGCTTTGCAACCTGTCACATACCCTGAAGCAGAGGATCTAAGTCAGTTGTCCGCAGGTGCTTGACCTACAGAAACTATGCAATAATAGAGGTACTTATTTTAAGCCCCCAGAATTTCAGGAAAATTTGTCATACAGCAATGGACAATTGATACAGATAAGTAGTATGAAAATATTTCCTCTCAGTCAAGGACTTGTCTTTTCTTAATAGAGATATAAGTTTAAATTATTCATCAAGTTCAATAGCTTGATAGCTGCCTTTGATAATTCATGCTTTTAGTCTTAGGTAAGAAATCTTTGCCTAAATGAAGTTCATAGTGATTTTCTTCTTTTCCTTCTAGAGAAATAATTTTCACTAAAACTCTGTTCTAATTGTTCTGTATGGTGTGAGTTATAAATCAAGATACAGTAGGCCCCCCTTATCTGTAGGGGGATATGTTACAAAACCCCTAATGGGTGCCTGAAACTGAGGATAGCACCAAACCCAATAAATATTATGTTTTTTTCCTATACACACAAACCTATGATAAAGTTTAATTTGTGAATTAGGTACAGTAATAAATTAACAGCAATGCAAGTCATAGAGCTTCTAACGAGAACTCAGTTGTTATCTTTGCTCTCTTCTACCTAATATGTAATTTGTTCTTAGTTTGCTTTTAAGATTTATTTCATCATTACCAGTTTTCAACAGTTTGATTTTGCTGTACCTTAATATAATTTTCTTATGCTCATCTGATTTGGGTTCTTTGAGATTCTTAAAATGTGGGTTTTAAGTTTATATCAAATTTGGATAATATTTGACCATTATTTCTTCAAATATTTCTTTTGGGGAACTCCATTTAGTTGTGTGATAGACTGCTTTTGATTGTCTCATAATCATTGAAAATATGTTCATTAATTTTAAACTGTTTTCTTTCTCTGCTTTATTTTAAAACTTGTCTTTTCCTAGTTCTTTAAGTTTTGTTTGTTCGTAAACATTGGGGTTACTGCCTATTGAGAACATAGTCTGTTGTTCCTGGAAAACCAAAAGTGTTGACTTGTTAACTTTCTTTAAATCAAGAAAGATACTGATTAGTTAGTGAAAATGTCTTTGCCTTCAGGCAAATGGTATAATAGGGAAGTAACTTGTACAAGATAGGAAGAGCAGTCTGGGTTTAAAAAAATAAATAAAAAGTCACTGTCAGTGAATCACTTTCATGCATACCTTCTGGCTCTCAGAAATGGTAGGACTACATACTTCCATGGAAGCTTTCTAATATTGTTCATATTTTTTTGCCCATAAGGAGTAAGTTTGCCTTTAAATGAGAGAAACTATACTTAGCAGCCTCATTCTGATTGGTGAAATGTATCAGAATTTGTTTTGTAAAGTGCTAAAAAAAATGCTCCATTAAATTTTAACCTCTGGTTACTCTGAGCACATAGAGACTCAAAATAACATCAGCCAAGTACATGTGCAAGTCTGTACATTTATGGAGTTGATTATTTATTTTATAACTCAAGTTTTGTTTGGAAGATCATAAAATTTGTTTTAAACTTTTTTATAAAGATCAAAATTATATTAGTAATTCTGTTTATACTTTATGTTTAGGTACTTTAGAATTTTTTTTTTGCAATTTTTTTTTGGGGGGTGGGGCTGGATTTGAACCCGCCTCCAGCATATGGGGCCAGTGCCCTACTCCTTTTACTCCTTTGAGCCACAGGCACCACCCATAGAATTTCTTTTCTAAATGTTATTTTTTAAAATAATAGGAAAGTTTTTTTTAAATTATATTAAAATTGGGAATAACTTTCCAAACATGACATAAAATCCAAAATTCATTGAAAACAATAAGTTCAACTACATGAAAATAAATGATTTGTATATGGCAAAAAAAAAGACATGAGAAACTGGAAAAATTATTTTCAATTCGTGATAGAGAACTAAGAAAAATTTTTATATATCAGCTCGGCACCTGTAGTTCAAGTGGCTAGAGCACCAGCCACATACACCAGAGCTGTTGGGTTCGAATATAGCCCAGGCCTGCCAAACAACAATGACAACTACAACCAAAAAATAGCTGGGCATTGTGGCGGGCACCTGTAGTCCCAGCTACTTGGGAGGCTGAGGCAAGAGAATCGCTTAAGTCCAGGAATTGGAGGTTGCTGTGAGCTATGATGGCACAGCACTCTACCCAGGGTGACAGCTTGAGGCTCTTTCTCAAAAAAAAAAAAAATTATGTGTCATTTATGTTATTAAACATACACTAAAAGTATAGTGAAATATCATTTTTCACCTATCAAATGGGCAAAATTTTAAAAGTTTGATAACACTTTTGCAGGGATAGTGGAAAATACATATTTTTATATGATGCTTGTAGAACTAGAAGTGGAGTATACTCTTTACAGAGGATAATTTAGAAGATAATGATAACAATTTTAAATGTGCCTACTTTTATAAATAGATCTTCACCAATGGGAAAAGGTATATATTTTGGGATATTTATTATAGCACTATTTGTAATAGTAAAATTTTATCAATTGATTGATTTGTAAAGCAACTCTGTGCTTTTATTTAGTTTTTGTTGTTGTTGTTTTGAGTTTTGCTCTTTTGCCTTTGGTAAGAGTACTATGGCATCATAGCTCACAGTAACCTCAAATTCTTGACTTAAGTGAGCCTCCTACCTTAGCCTCCTGAGTAGCTGGTACTACAGGCGAGGGCCATGACACTCGGCTAATTTTTCTATTTTTAGTAGAGACGGGGTCACACTCTTGCTCAGGCTGGTCCTAAACTCCTGAGCTCAAGCAGTCCACGAACCTTCGGCTCCCAGAGTGCTAGGATTACAGGCGTGAGCCAACATGCCTAGCCTTGAAATAGTAAAATTTTAGTAGAAAACTACGCAGCTGTTAAGAATGAAGCAAATACATACGTGTGTGTGTGTGTGTGTGTGTGTGTGTGTACGGAGCTCTTAGAACAGACATGACACATGGTAGGCATCCACTATATTCTTGTTGATGAGTTGACTGAGTTTTTAAGTGGCAAACACAAGGTCTAATATACATATATAGAATACTGTCATTTGTGTTAAAAAAGAATATAAACATTATGCATGTACTCACAGAGCATAGCAGGGAATCTGTTGTAAAAAGGGGCAAGTTGGCAAAAGATTTAGTAGTAGGCACAAAAACAGAAAGGTAAGAAATAATTTTATGGTATCTTCTAAATTTTGTAACATGCATTTTAAAGCTTTTTGAAGTAGTAATTAGCGATTAACATAAAATACTGTATTTGCAGGGATGAAAATGAACCTGCTGAAATAGAAGATTTAAGTGTTACTAAACCTGATGGCTGGCTTGACGATGAACCAAAATTTATCCCAGATCCTAATGCTGAAAAACCTGATGACTGGTAAACAATCTTCATCTTCAAATGTCAATTTTAAGTATTGCTTACTTGTGTTTTTGTTAGTAGCTTATATGACTGACCTGAGACTCTATTTGTTTTGTTCTAATATCTTAAGGAATGAGGACATGGATGGAGAATGGGAGGCACCTCGTATTCCTAATCCAGCATGTCGAGTTGGGTGTGGAGAATGGAAACCTCCCATGATAGACAACCCAAAATACAAAGGAATATGGAAACCTCCAATGATTGATAATCCTAATTACCAGGTAGTTATCACTTAGTTCAATTCTTAGTAAAGTTAAAAATGTGATGTTGTCTTTCATATGTATAATTATTGATAATATTATATTAACTTTTAGAAGTTTGGTTTATAATCTTAAGTCAAATAGAGTCCTGATTATTAGTGAAAATGTCTTTGCCTTCAGGCAAATAGTATAATAGGGAAATAACTTGTACAAGGCAGGAAGAGCAGTCTGGGTTTTAAAAAAATAAATAAAAAGTCACTATCAGTGTATCACTTTCATGCGTATCATAGAAAATGATTTGCATTTAAAAAGTAAGGCATTCTTTAATTTTTTAGGAGAATAAAATTAAAAACTGAAGATAAATCACTTCATACTATATTGTTCCCTAATAATAAATTGATACTTTGGAACAAAGTTCTATTTTAGAACTAAATATGAGAAATGAATTCCAATTAAGTAGACTCATACATTTTAATAATTGATGCCTGAGCTCAATTAATGTCCTGGTTTTTTAGTAGTATTAAAATACAGAAATTGGCTCGGTGCCCATAACACAGTGGTTACGGTGCTGGCCACATACACTGAGTCTGAAGGGTTTGAACCTAGCCTGGGCCAGCTAAAAAATAACAATGGCAAGTGCAATTAAAAAAAAAAGTAGCTGGGTGTTGTGGTGGGCACCTATAATCTCAACTACTTGGGAGGCTAAGGCAAGAGAATCACTTAAACTCAAAAGCTTGAGATTGCTGTGAGCTGTGACACCACAATACTCTACCAAGGGCAACATAGTGAGACTCTGACTCAAAAAAAAAAAAATATATAGAATTTATTCTAATATGAATCAGACATCTTTTGAGTGTACCTAGTTTTTTATGTTAAAAGTCCCTGTGTTATGTATTTAATTGTCTACTTTTATCTTTGTAATTATTCATTGACGTATTCTATATATATTCATATATCTGCAGTTACATATTCTAATCACTGTGGTTTTCCTTTATAGTACTTAACACAAAGTGATTATTTTAGTAATTTTTTTAATTTAATGTCTGTCTCCTTCATTCAACTTCAAACTTTATAATACAGGAACTGTATCTGTGTTGACCATCTGGCCTAGTGCCTGGTTCAGAATTAGATATATATGATGGTGCAGTGACTCAGTGAGTAATCATACTGTGAAATTGATTTGATTAACAGTTTAATCTTTTAAGATCTACTGGAATTTTTACATGGAATTGTTGTTCTAAGATTTAACTATGATTAATTAATACTGCCTATCATGTGTATATATTAAATGGAGTGAGCCACCTTATTATATAATGATCTTTCCAATTTCGGCAACTTTGATATCTTGCCTTGAATAACTTTTTACTAAATCCAAAAAACTTGTCTAAAATAATATCCCTTGTGAAACTTACTCAGGTTTATGTGTGTGTTGAATTTTCACTTTGCCTTTTTTGCAGAATATAAAGTCAGTCTCATGCCTATAATCCTAGAACTCTAGGAGGCCAACGCAGGTGTATCACCTGAGCTCAGGAGTTTAAGATCAGCTTGAGCAAAAGTGAGACCTCATCTCTATTAAAAATAGAAAAACTAGCCAGGCATTGTGGTGGATACCTGTAGTCCCAGCTACTCAGGAGGCTGATGCCAGGGGGTCATTTGAGGTTGCTGTAAGCTAGGATGCCATGGCACTCTACCCAAGTCATACAGTGAGGCTTTGTCTCAAAATAAATAAACAAAACTCATGGAGAACATTGCAGAATAAGAAGAAATAAGGTTTTATTTCCAGTGTATCACTAATGGATTAATAGCAGTTAAAGGTTTCTTTTTCTCCAGTTAGTATTGCTAATTTTAACAGCAACTGCTTCTTAAGAAGCCTTTATAATGAAATTATTTTATTTGAAAATGTCTTCAATTATTTTTTCTTCCAGGGAATCTGGAGTCCTCGAAAGATTCCTAATCCAGATTACTTTGAAGATGATAATCCATTTCTTCTGACTTCTTTCCGTGCTCTTGGCTTAGAGCTTTGGTCTATGACGTCTAATATCTACTTTGATAATTTTATTATTTGCTCAGAAAAAGAAATAGCAGATCACTGGGCTACAGATGGTTGGGGATGGAAAATAATGATAGCAAGTGCTAATGAGGTATGGTATTGACCAGTAGTGGTTGTGATGTAACTATGTATAGCAGTAATAAGACTCAACCCTGGTTATAGGTTATACATATAGCTCCTTTAAAGGTAAATAAGTGTATAATAATTACTGAATCTCAAGGAAGTATACTTGTAGACAGAATATTTAGCTTTACTATATTATGATACAACTTCATTATACCACATTTAGTAAACTCTATGTCTATATGTGAGTTTGTGAGTCTCATTCTGCATTAAATTATAACAACTTTAATAGGATATAATGCTTATATGACATTTATAGAGTTGGCACATTGCCAATTCAAGGAGTAAATGGTAACATTATTATTTTTTATTTAAACTACTTTTCACATAGAAGAGTACAAAGAATTTTTAAATGTAACACTATTGTGTTCTAGTGTTTTCAGAAAAATCTCAGTATTGTTTACAAAAAGATAGGCTATCAGGCATCCTCAAACTGCAGCCCGTAGGCCACATGCAGCCCCCTGAGGACATTTATCTAGCCCACGGGGTGTTTTTGCTGCTGCTGACTGTCCTGCTTGGCAGCCGACTTGTCCTGGGGCCTGCAGTCCGGCCCTCCAACGGTCTGAGGGACAGTGAACTGGCCACCTGTTTAAAAAGTTTGAGGACCCCTGGACTAAATATTTCAACTCAATGTACCTTAGATAATATAACTTTAAAATCATTTGCTATAAAGAAAAATTCATACCTTACATTTGATTTCTTTGGACACTAGCAAAAATCATCAAAAGAGTAGGTAAAGAGGGATTCTCATTTTGAATCTTTTAACTAAAACATTCAATGGTTTACAATTTTATCTTCACAAAGGAAACAACTTCGTTACTGTGGGTTATATGTAAAATTTGTTTATATAAAAAAGAAAGTTTTGAAGTATGATTTTAATAAGTTCTTTAAAGGCACAGCATTAATAATCAGAGTTGTATCTCCTAAGTGAAACACATAATACATCCACATAAAGGAGTTCTATCCTTGACCAATGATAAATGGAATGGTTTGCTTTTCTTTTCTTGATTAATTTGAGTTTTCTATAGATTCTGGTTATCTGTCTTTTGTCAGACTCATAACATGAAATATCCCATTTATCATTGGGCAAGAGAAGCAAAGAGAACCTTCTCCAAAGAAGACAGACAAGTGGCCAGCAAACATGAAAAAATGTTCATGGTCCATGATCATCAAAGAAGTGCAAATTAGAACTACCTTGAGATATCACCTAACCCCAGTAAGATTAGCCCACATCACAAAGTCCCAAAGTTGCAGATGCTGGAATGATTGTGGAGAGATGGGAACACTTTTATACTGTTGATGGGATTGCAAATTAATACAGCCTGAAAGTATGGAGAATCCTCAAAGAGCTAAAAGTAGGCCTTCCATTCGATCTCACAATCCCATTATTAGGTATCTACTCAGAAGAAAAAATATCATTTTATATCATAAGGACATTTGTACTAGAATGTTTATCACAGCTGAATTCACAATTGCCAAGATGTGGAATCAACCCAAATGTCCATCAACCAAAGAATGGATTAATTCACTGTGGTATATGTATATCATGGAATACTAGTCAGCCATAAAAAATATGGAGACTTTACATGTTTTATATTAACCTAGATGGAGTTGGAGAACATTTAGTAAAGCATCACAAGAATATAAAAGCAAATATTCAGTGTACTTAATACTAATATGAAACCAGCAGATCAATAACTATAGGCCCATACAAGAGAAAAAATCAATTAAAGTAGGGGAGAGGAAAGCAGTGAAGAGAGAGGGGAGAAGGGGTAGGGAGTAGCGTGCTGTCACCTAACAAGCACAGTGTTAGAGTCCATGGCATGCCTCCTGGGTGAAGCTCAACTACAACTTGGACTTTAGGTAACAAATGCAAACAATGTAACCTAGTCATGTATGCTCTCATATTAATCTGAAAACTGTTAGTTCTATCCTGATATTTAACAAAAAATGAAGTTGTCATTCTTGCTGGAAGATTAGAAGTTTCCACTTTGTAGTAATGTACCTTCTACTACAAAGTCTCATTCAGTGATGCGTGCTAATAACTAAATTAGACTTTACAAAGTGTAAGGTGGGAAAATGAAACATTTGGGGTCTTGTTTATAAGTTCATCACACCTTAATATAAAATGCCTGAGTAAAATATGGTTTTCATAGATAGGATTTCCCAATAAAAGATTGTAAAATTTGAATTGCATTTTTCTGCTTATGTCTTTTATAGCCCGGTGTATTTAAGCGGTTAATGGCTGCTGCTCGAGAACGCCCATGGCTTTGGTTGATTTATCTTGTGACAGCAGGGCTGCCAGTAGTACTAATTACTGCATTCTGTTGGCCAAGGAGAGCAAAGGTAAAGAAAATCAATTTCCTTCACCTTTTTTTCTATAAATTGAGCAAATCATTCTTAAAAGTAATACTGTATTTTTCCACGTATAATGAGCACTTTTTTGCCAAAATTTTTGAGGGAAAATGAGGATGCATATGATACATGGGTAGTACTAATTCCTTATCTATATAAATGTTTTAATTCTTTTATTTATGCTTATGCATTAAAAGTATAACTCTAGAAAGCAATAATGTATCCGTATGCAAAATAATACCCTGGAAAATGGTAATCAGTTTTCTTGAGCTTATGACAAACTTGGAATGAAAGCATTTCAATCAGTGAAGAGCAATGTATTTCTCTACATACAGTTTAGGCAGGAGCTCGAAATCCAGCTGATATTTTTTGTTACATAAAATTTCTTATACCATAATATATTTTTAAAAATCCTAAAATTCTTTTATAAAACAAAAAACAAGTAAATAAATATGAACAAATAAAATTTGAATTATAAAATTTAAATAAAAATTTATTTCATGAAAGTTTGGGCCAAAAATGTGGGGCACCTTATACACAGGAGTGCATTACATATGGAAAAATAGAGTAAGGCCTGGCGCCATGGTTTGTGCCGGTAATCCTAGCACTCTAGGATGCCGAGGTGGTTGAATTGCTTGATCTCAGGATTAGAGACCAGCCTGAGCAAGAGCAAGACCCTGTCTCTAAAAATAGCTGGGCATTGTGGCAGGCACCTATAGTCCCAGCTACTTGGGAGGCTGAGGAAGGAGGATCTCTTGAGCCCAAGAATTTGAGGTTGCTGTGAGCTGTGACACCAGGGCACTCTACCAAGAGTGACAAAGTGAGGCTCTGTGTCAAAAACACAAAGAGAAAGAAAAATACAGTAATCTAAATTTTCTATAGGTTTTCACTGATAATTCACTGTGTGTTATCAATTATTGCAAAAATAGTGCCTTTTAATAAAAAATACTTTGTTAAACTACCACAGAAAAAATACGAAGACACAGAGTATAAAAAAACTGACATATGTAAACCACAAACAAAGGGAGCCCTAGAACAAGAAGTGAAGGAAGAGAAAGCAGCCCCGGAGAAGCCGATAGACTTAGAAGAGGAAAAAAAGCAAAGTGATGGTGAAATTCTTGAAAAAGGTAAAATGATAATAGCAATTTTGATGGGGACCCGGGGTAAAGTTCATAAACACAGTATATTATCTCAAAATCACTAGCTGTTGTATTTGCTTATTATCAAATTTGTACATCTGAATCTCCAAGAATACATGATGATGGCCAAGAGGAGTAACAGTCCTCTGAGCAGCCAACCTGTTGATAGTTATTTTCTTCTAGGAAACAAGATTTAAATAGCATTCTGTTGCTTCAGGGCCTCACAGTTATGAATCTCATTTGCCATAGTCTTTCGCAAAGACTTTTCTTGCCTCTGAGAATGTAGAAGGTGAGATGGAAGGTACATGTCACAGCCTCTGTAGAAGGGGAATTGATCTAAGGCAGGTGATGGCAGCAACAAAATCAATACCAAGTCTGCTAGTGGTTGTAGTTTATCCGAAGTTACCATAGGGAATAAATACTTGATTAATTTCCTAAAAAGACTGCTGAATCTGTATGCCTCCCACCTATATTATACTCTTGAAGATGTTAGAACTAAAGCTGCTTTTTGGTGGCTCTCTACGGAGACCTCCTTATGCATACTGAGGTAGAAATAAAACTAGTGATTTGCCCAGGGTCCCAAGCCAAAGTCCAGATTGAGCTTTTTACAACTTAAATTATGTCTTGAAGCACTATTCTGAACTTAGTTGATGAAACAGTTGACTTAACACATGTGTATGTACATATCTATATTTTGAGAGTATATATACCCACACTTACATCTGAGGTTGTACAATTAAGTTTGTGAACTCATCCTAGAAAAAGTGCTCCATACCTCATTGCTGAATATCACTACAGTCACCTTCAAAGTACTCCCCTGAGAAGCTGTGCACCAGCACCAGTGCCTAGACCACTCTTTAAAGCACTTTTTCTAAGACTATTTCGCAAACTTAATTGTCCAACCTCATATATTTACATACACATGTAAAACCTGTATGTGTGTACTACACATGTGTGTGTGTGTTTATCAGGTATCTGAAACAAATGCTTTAGTTTGGAAATTCTCATAGCCTTATTCTTGTAACACATGTGCTTAGTATATTGATGTCTTGTTCAGCCTTATTTAGAGGGCATTTATATATAGCTTGTATTGGAATATTTAAGTATCAGAAAGGTCTTCTTATGGTAAGTACTTTCACATAGTCATGTAGGCTCACATTATGAATGTGGAAATACATGAGAGAGGTAGCAAGAGAGGTAAAGATGATGAGTTTTCAACCTTTCTTTCTCCAAGCCCCATTCTGGGTGGGGTAGGAGTATTGACTTTATGTGGCTCCAGGACTTGTTTCGCTTTTGGTAATGATAGTGACAAAGTTAGAGATTTGGTGAAGTGGAATACAAAGGAGGGTCATTGACTAAAAAATTGCCTGACAATGGCCACAAAGAACAAGCATAAATAAATAGCATATTGAAAATAAAAGATCACCAAAAATTAAGGGAAGAATTTCTAAGACATGAACACAGAGAAGATGACAGTTTGGTTTTGTGTGGGTTTTTTTTTCATATACCATGTACATACAGACTTAATGCTTAAAAAATATTTAAACCTTCCCCTTAACTCAAATATGATTTATTTATGAAATGTGATAAATTAGTCTATTTTTAAGCTTTGAACAGAAGAAAAAAGGAAAGAAAAATAAAAATTTGAACAGAAGGAATTGCTCTTAAATATTGGAATTTAAATAAATCCCTTTTATTGTATTTAATACTTTTCACTAGCAAAATTTAATTCTTTGAGGTTTTGCCTTTAATAAAATCTGTATTTTAGAAGAGGAAGGTGAACCTGAGGAAAAAAGTGAAGAAGAAGTTGAAATCATAGAAGCTCAAGAAGAAGGTAATAAAGCAAATAAGTCTGGATCAGAAGATGAGGTAAGCAACATTTTAACAGAAAATAAACTAGTTTCTGTGTATGCTTGTTGCCCATTCAAAAGTTGTTTCAGTAAAAGCAATCTGGTGTAAAGGAATATTTGCCATTTCTCTCAGCTTTTGTAAGAGCTTCTGTATTGTTTCTTAAACGTATCTATAAGGAAGGCAAGAAAAGACTATGATTTATATTGTCTTAATTTCCAGTAGAACAGTGTAGAGTAAACCTGTGATTTACAAAACATAAAGACATAACTGCATCTGTAAAAAATTATAATTTTACCATTCTATTGAACGATAATATAAACATATTTGAATATTTACAAGGTAATAGTCATTATTACAGTGTTCTAAATAGATGTTGTAAAAACATTCTTACTGTCTTAATATTTTACTGTCGCATTTTGAAATATTTGACTTCATTGGTGGTTGAGTACTATCTACCTGATCTGGTGTTTTTTCCAAATCTTTAATGGACTAGAGAGTTGTTTTCCCTATTAACTGGATATGTGTACCCATTTTTGAATCCTGATATAAAAGAGAAATTTCCACAATGCCTTTTTTAGTCAGTTAGCGTGGAATCATAAATAATGCAGAGTATAATTTCCATCCAGATCTTTCCTTTTTTTTTTTTTAACCCAGCATAAATCCAAACCTGTGTTTTCTCCTTCTCTAGCCCTTTATGTGCTTCAGCACCTCACCCCACAGAGTCACCATCCTGACACATTGCATTCTAACTGATTAGGGAGGGTAAAAGCACAGGTCTGCCTGGCTTATTGCATGTGATGCAACAAGTTTTCTATTTTATCTATTTGAGGAAATCTTCCTAATTAATTATTTTTATTTAAGTGTTTCCTAAATTTTTTCAGTACACATGTCTGGTCTTAACTCCTTTGTGAATTTTTAAAAGGACTTTGGGGGATCAGGGCATCATTATCTAGTGTGAATATCTATGTTTAAGGAGAGCTGAGGGATGGAAATTCCTGACAGAGCAGACTTTTAAACAGCCACTCAGTAAACTTGGGGTCATTTACTTGAGTATGTGTTCTGTTTACATTTTGTTTCACAAAAACATTTTGTGTACCTTTAAAAATATCCAATTCCATCTTTTCCACTCTTTTAGACTTCTTATGTATATTCATCAGTGAGCTAAAATAAGTCGATAAAACATTTTGTAACCTCAAGAAACAGCTTTATTTTTATACTGTATCGTACCTTCATGATAACATTTGATTGATAGAACATGTATGTAAGAGAAGAAATGCATTATTTACCACTATCGACTAGTTACGTGTTATACTAGAATAAAATTTTCATACTTTTTTCTAGATGAAAGAAGCAGATGAGAGCACAGGATCTGGAGATGGGCCAACCAAGTCAGTACGCAAAAGAAGAGTACGAAAGGACTGAACTATTCTCAAGTGTTTGTGTTTCCTGAGAAAGATGTTTGGCATTCTAAAGTCAATGTGCCAGAACTGAACTTGAATCAACCTACACATCTGTTTCTGATATGAAACAACGTTATTCTTTCAGCATTTATTTTAGTCTTTCTTTTCAGGGAAAGAAAAAGTAACTTCAAAGTTGCCTTTGAATTTAAAATAAAAGTGGCATGTTACATATCAGATTTAAGAGATTATTATCATTAGAAGTTACACAGTTTAGAAGTTTCGAGATAGTTTTGGTTTGTACAGAGCAAAATAACATGTAGAAGCTTCACTGCAATTGAAAAAATCAGTTATTGCAATTCCCACTTTATATGGCTCTACCGCAATATAACTGGCAGTTCTATAATAAAAACAAGAGTGTGTTCTATTGTACAGAGCTAAATGCAATAAAGTTTCTGTATGGTTGTTTGATTCTATCAACAATTGACAGTGTTATATATGACCTGCATTTACCCTAGTTGATGTCAAATTATGATTATGGTCAGTTTTTCACTAAAACCCTAAAATTCCTTTAAAGAGGTGTCTTGTTGACAAGTCAACAAAACAAATGTCTAAGTATAGAATCAGTGGATATTTTACATTTGAATACAAATAGGTCTATCAAAACAAAATGGTGCACATATTTTTTTTCAAGCTTTTATAGCTGTTTTATGCCAGAGTGGTTTACCTCACTCACAAAATTGTTTTATGCATCATTCCTCTTGAAAATAAAATTTGAATTTTTTTATCTTAAATTATACCCTATTTAACAGATAGATTATTATTGGGGAAACTTAAAATTTTTGTATTAGAGATTCTAATGGCCGATGTAAATTCATCATGCTTTATATTTCTATCTTGTCTTTTTCCTGGCAAATTCAAATCTATTTTAAGTCTGTTTTCCCATCCAGCTTTAAAGCTGCCTCAGAGGTGAATAGGAAAAACTATTATCATTTCTCCTCCTTTTAAAGTAGTTACCAAAGTCACTGGACTGCATTACAGTGGAGCTGTTTTTCCAGTTACAATATTTTATTTAGGAACTTTTGGGTAACAGGTTTAGACCCTTTGGGAGGTGTTGAGACCACAGAACTATTTGAATACTAAGTATCTAAAGAACTTTAGTTGGGTAAGGGTTTTGGATTGCTTTCTAAACACACACACTGGATCCTTGGGCAAGCCCCACATTAAGTTCCCATACAGTATCTTTTTCAGTAGTTACATTTTGAACTTAACATATGAGGAAAATGTTTCTAGCTTCTGCTTTTACTAAAGTAAGCAAAACATAGCCAGTAATTCACTCTCTCTTTCAAAGAGTCAATTGAAAATGAAAATAAGTGCTTTATTCCATGGCTATGTTCTGAGCTTTCATAAATGGGTAGCAGTTAACCATACTTTGTATTTCTCTAATACTAACTGAACTGAAGACTTCTTGCAAGGACCTCTCTTGGTTTGCATTTGAGACATCCAGATGTACTAGACACGTTGAATAATTCTGGATGAGAACGTTTCTGAAAGTAAACCACTACTTCAGTAGATAAAATTCTTAAAGAAAAACTTCATGCCTGACAAGGGTCTTGTATGTGAACACTTTTTTTTTAAACTGAACTTTAACATTTGGTAAACTCCATGAAAGTGCAGTGGTAAAATGTGGGCAACAAATCATGCCAAGTCACTGCTAGTTCCCATGCACACATGCCTTTGTGGATGTACCATGGCTGATAGGTTTAACCAGAACTTAAACTCTAATGAATAACCTGGAGTTGAAAAAGGATAGAATCTTTTGTAATAATCAAATGGCTTTTTCATTCTGCTACTTTCTGACTTCCTTACAATGACTTAAATTTTATCCTTTTCCCTAATTAAGGAGGAAAACAAGTATGTTTTGCCTTATTTGAATTGGCCTTTCTAGAAGCTTTTTAACTTGACCAGGCTAAAGTAATTTCCCTTTTCTTGACTATTTTTTTCCAGATAGCCTTGATTCCACTGATCCTTCCTTTTAGGAAACACCACATTACTAGAATTAGTTGTCTTTCTGAAGGGTCAGTCCCTATTTGGATAAGGCACATGTTAAAATGAACCACACTAATAATGAATTTAGCCTACTTTAATAATGTAGAATTCTACTCCAAAAGTGGTTTTGTATTCAGTGAAAGCTATGCAGAATAGTTAAGATACAAACATATTATACCCTAGGCATCTGTGAGCAGGTTTTGCTCCTTTCTCAATTATGGTCATGTTTATAACTTTAGCAGGAATTAGAAATGAAATATCAGATGACTAAGATAACTACCTAAATTTTTTATATCAATAATTTATGAAAACATAATGACATTTGTACATGGAGTAGATTGTTCTTATGTATTTCCATAATATAATAGCGGGAAATAAAAATTATCCCTGATCTGACAGGTCAGTTGAGGCAGGTTGATGGGAGAGAAAATGCATTTGAAAGTACATTTGGAGTTTTTCCAACTTTTTCCTAGGATTCTTGTAATTTCCAGCCTTGGGCTTAAGTCTTTTATGCATTGTGAATTAATTTTGTGAATGGTTAAGAGGTGCAGATCCTGTTTCAGTCTTTTACACGTGCCTATCCAGTTTTCCCAGTACCATTTATTGAATGGGGATTCTTTCCCCCAGTGTATGTTTTTATCTGTTTTGTCAAAAATCAGATGAGAATATGAGGATGATTTCATCTCTGGGTTCTCTTTTCTGATCCATAGGTCTATGTCTTTGTTTTTGTGCCAGTACCATACTGTTTGGGTTACAATCTCCTTATTATATAGCTTGAAATCTGGTAAAGTGATGCCTCCCGCTTTACTCTTATTATGTAAGGTTGCACTGGCTATATGGGGTCTTTTCTGGTTCTGTACAAAGTATAGAACTATTTTTTCTATATTTGAAAGGCATTGCCTTGGTATTTTAATGGGAATTGCATTGAATCTGTAAGTCACTTTGGATAGGATAGCCATTTAAACAGTGTTGACTCTGCCAGTCCATAAGCATAATATATTTTTCCTCTGTTTACAGCCTCTGCAGTGTCTTTCCTCAGTGTTTCATAATTCTCCCTATAGAGGTCTTTCACCTCCTTTGTTAAGAATATACCTAGGTGCTTTATTTTCTTTGTTGCTACTGTGAAAGGTAGTGTGTCTAGATTCTCAGCTTGGCTGTTGTTGGCATATATGAAAGCTACTGATTGGTGTGCACTGATTTTGTAACCTGAGACTGCTGAATTTATCCATTCCAGAAGTCTCTTAATTGAATCTTTGGGGTTTTCTAGATAGAAGATCCTACCATTTGATCCTAAATCCCACTTCTGGGTATATACTCAAAGGAAAAACAGTCATTTTATACAAAGGACACCTGCACTTGAATGTGTAGAGCAGCACAATTCACAATCACAGAGATGTGGAAACAACCCAAGTGCCCAGCAATACATGAATGGATTAATGTGATACAGGCATACCAGGGAATAACACTCAGCCATGAAAAAAAATGGTGATCTATTATCTTGGTGACAACCTAGATGGAACTAGAAACCATTTTTCTAAGTGAAACATCACAAGAATGGAGAAACAAACACATGTACTTAATACCAAGTTAGAACTAATCAATCAACACTTAGGTGCACATAAGGAAGTGAATCTCAATGAAAATCGAGCTGGGGAAGGGGAGGAGGGACTGGGCAAATTCACACCTGCTGGGTTCAGTGCACACTATCTTGGTGAAGGGCACACTTATAACTTTGACTCAGTCTATACAAGATCCAAAATACATAAACAAAACATGTACCCCTAGTATTATGAAATATAAACTAAAAAGAAAATGCATTTGGAGCTTGTCTCTAGACATCCAAATGCATGAAAGAGTAAGAAGTTAGAGAGGATGGGGAGCAGGATAACTGGAATATGAATCTTTTAACACCTGCCACAGTATCACATATTTTGTGTTTGTTAAATTAATACACATTTTTATAATATTTGGGGATATTTTCAGACTAAATGGTAAGCCATCTATACATAATGTTTAAAATTTAAAACAAGATAAACATTATGCAATTAATTATAATGAATGTGCTACTTTGGCTTCTGTCACCTCAACACCCCTCTCAACTATTAGGTCCTGAGGCTAACACTATCATCCTTGTTATAGTAAATGTCTTTTAAATACCCTTATTCTCTGACATAAGTGAAATAAACTGTAGCTGATTTTCTAGATGGAGTAATCAGAAGCATTTAAGTCATTCTCTTCCAGTTCTTAACCTTCAATATAATCGTATTCTCTGTTCCTTAACAACTAATCTCTGGTGTTCAGTGGTAATAATTTTGGTTATATCTGCATTGAAGAATTATCTGATGACAACCACCAGGGAATGTTAAGATAGGGAAAAGCAAAATTATTAACCCAAGAATGGCTTTACATTCTGTTAAGATCAATAAAGATCACTTTTGATTTGCCTTGGACAACAAGATTAATTTTAGATTCTATAATTCAACTCTCATTTTTTAGAAAAGGGACTAGATCACAGGGCATAGTAACAGGAATAGAGATGTGACATTATTAACTGGTTGGAGTCAAGTGTTTACATTATTGTATTTACTTCTCTATAAAAGGAAACTTTGAACTTTTTCTAGAAGTTCAAAATTCTCTGAAAATTGAAGTTTGTTTTCATCATTTTGGCCCCAAAATTCATTTGGCAGTCAAACCTGACCCCCCAACAAGCTTTTGTATGTATAGTCTGCCTGTTTCCCACTTTAATATTCGTGTTTTGCTGCAGTGCTGCAGAAATGTTAGTGTATTTGATTATAGGTGCTTCCCCAAACCAGACTGTTAGGTAAATCATATTACTTTATAAAATCTGAAAATTTCCAAATTCTGAAACATCTGGCTCTACAAGTTCCAGATAAGGAATTGTGATCTGTAGTAACTTGCTACAGTTAAGTCTAAAAGGAATATAAAGTAAATTTCAGATGGCATGCCAGTGAGAGAAGTCCCACTGGGGAAGCCTGGGAAAAGGGGGTGTGTTAGTCTTTTGGGGCTGCTATGACAAAAGATAGTCTGGGTGGTTTATAAGAAATTTATTTCTCACAGTTCTGGAGGCTGGAGGTCTGGATCAGGGTGGCAGTACAGTCACATTTGGTGAGGGCCCTCTTCAGATGCAGTTTGCCGTCTTCTCACTATATCCTTACATGGGAGAGAGAACTCTCTGGGGTCTCTTTTTTTATAAGGGCACTAATCCTATTCATGAGGTCTTCATCCTCATTTCTCAAAGTCCTCACCTCCTAATTGTATCACATTGGGGTTAGGATTTTAACATCTGAATTTGGGGAGGACACATTTAGACCAAAACAAAGGAGTATGCTGATTTTCCCTGCCAATTGTCATTCTACCTGCATGTAGAGCAAGAAAGTATTAAGGAAAAATCATTCTGACATTTGTTTTAATGGTAAGAAAGACTTTATTCAGGACCATAGGTGTTAAAACTATTGTGACAGGGGAAAGAAATCTGCTCAACTCATAATACTACCACAGCAAACACAAGGGGGGATTTTTAGTCAATGGCACAGTGAGGGGAACAGTGGTTGGAAAATTGCTAAGTGGATGTATGAAGAGTAGGGTATTTCTTCCTAAAGTTTTCTGCTGAAGGCAGGTCAGGTTGATCAGGTATCAAAGGTAGGGGATAAGGAATGGAGTAAGCATGCCAAAGACAGGACTCAAAAATAAGGCCTCATTGTAAAGACGGTTCAGAGTTGGACACAGTCCCTAGCAGTTTACCAGTTACATTTCTAATGCAGAAATTGATGATATCCTGAAGTAAGGTATTAACACAAAGAAAGAAGTGTATAGCACTGGTTTACCATTAGCATGACAAACAGGGAGTATATTTCAGTCAACGTTTTGTTACTAGGCTGACAGCTTCAGGTGTAGCAGTTGGAGAAGGCCCAAATGTTAAATAAATTGGCTGTTTCACAGTGCCTTTAGCAAGGTGTCAAAAATTAAATTACCAGTTTCCAATCATAGATGGAAGGGAATAAAGTTCAGATGCTAGGAATTTTACAAAATTTAAAAAGCCAATTGTTTCTAAACCTTGAATAGAAAGAGTTCAAAATTATTTTGGAGGTGTAGGAAGTAGTGGGGATGCCCATTAAGAATTCTCTGCCAATTGCTAAGCCAAACAAAGAGACCCAGCTTTGAAACAATAATCTGAATGTAGAATTCCCAATGTCAATTATTTTCAGTTGATCTCAGGATGGCTTCCATTAAAGAGAGGCAAGGTCCCGTGAGGTAAGAAAGCATGCTTTGAAAACTTAGTCAAGAAAAAAGCACAGCACTTCTGGCTGCAAAAGCTTTTTTTTCTCCTGGCATATGCATGTAGATGCAACCAGATGCATGTAGATGAGAAGGCTTGAGTTTCTGAAGGAATTGTATTACTAAAGAAATGTATAGCATGGCCTTAAAATAATGGGCACCAAGCTCAAACCCACACCTGTGAAAGAAGTGGACTGTCATAAACCCCTGTGGAACTAATGCTCCCAGGCTCACTTTAGATGTAGGCATGGGGAAAAAATGGGTAAGAAATAACTGTCCAGAGAGAAAACCATGGAGTCCCTTGGAAAGGTCAGAATTGGCGTCTAATCAAAGAACTTCACCATTAAGGACAAAATCTTTACAAGGTCTCAAGCCATTCCATAATTGCTTTGAATCTGAGTAAACATTTCCCTTCATTCCAAATTGAGAGGCTTTTTTTTTTTTTTTTTTTTGCTATCCTGTCCTCACTACATTATAAATGGATAAATGGGCAGGAGCAAGAATAAGAGCAAATGTGCCCAACAGTTTAGAGCTGGGGTCCTCAAACTACTGCCCATGGGCCACATGCAGCCCCCCGGTGTTTTTGCCACTGCTGCCTGTCCTGCTTAGCTGCTGACTCGTCCTGGGCCTGCAGTCTGGCCCTCAAACGGTCTGAGGAACAGTGAACTGGCCCCGTTTAAAAAGTTTGAGGACCCCTCGTTTGGAGGTTATCAGACTGTAACAAGCCACATCCAAACTGACAAACCTTAAAAATGATCTTAGATCCTGGATTTTGAGCTGAATTAGTAACTGGATGAGAGGCTGAGAATGATCCATGTGAGGTAAGAAGGCTGTACACAGATACTTAGGTAGCTGAGGCTGCTAGTAGCCACTAAAATCCTTTATCTGCTTCCATACTACCATGGTTGTAGCTAGAATATGGCTGCTCAGTCAGGGTTTACATTTTTCAGCTACTTTTGTAACCGAGTCTCCACACCATTGGAACAGGAGAGACATGAGCCACTTCTAGGCCTGGTACATAAAACTTTGAATGTATTGGGTTCTTTTTCTTCAAGTTAGAATGATAACAAGAGTGACTTGGAAGCCATGGTTGAAATCAGCAGAACCATTGTTACCCCAAGTCCCTGAATAATTATGTGGAACAAAGCCTGCCAGCCTATAATGCTGATGTTGGAACCACTGGCTGCGAGAGAAACTCCTGTGTTATTTTATATTCTTTCTCACTGGGTCTCTTGTTGTGGTGGCTTAGCCTATGCTAAAAAATCTAACTTCCTTTCCCCTGGAGATCTTGGATCCTTTTCTTTTAATGCTGTGCTGTTATATTTTAAATTAATGTATAATATCCTATTAATATTTGTATTGATAACCTGTAATATCTGTGTTAATGAAAATATCATTCCCCTAAATACTAACTGGGTACTTAAATAAGTTATGCTATTTATTCTGTGGCTTCTGTGTTCATGAATATACAACTACACCTATATTATTCCACGTACTTAGGCAACTACATAAAACACACACAATCTCTGAAACAGCTTTTTATTAAACAGCAAAGCAGAACTGCAACACAATATAAATTTATGTAAATAGGGTCACAAAAGGGATACAAAATGTTTGCAGTGTAACTACAGATAGTCGCTCATCAACTCTTATATCAATGCATAAGATAATTCCATGATTAAAAGTAGCCCAAATCTAATAACCATAAGCTATATTAGTGGAGCTCTTTACCTATTGTAACATTTTAGCATTATTTCTGATAATGATTCCCTTACCAAGTGGAATCTACAAACTAAACATTTAAATATGATTAAAGGATAACTAAAACTCTGCAAAGTAGTAGAGTTTACAGAAAATTCTGGGTGAACAAGTGAGATAACATACTCAACAAGATTATCAATTAGTTAACATGTAAACTATTTTATTCATAATTCTGACATTAATATACTCTTAAGGAATTTTCCAAAAATTAATCTGCTGGGTAAAAATAAACCTTGAGACCAATCTCTTTGTAACATTCTCTCCCAAATGTGGCTTACATAAGAGTAGTTACGTTTAATCCACTTTCAGATGTATTTCCAAAACATCTGTGTGCCAGAGATAATACAAACCTGGAGTGAAAACACTGAGTTGGCTACCACTGTTTACTTTTCTACCCTATTTTTATTTTTCTACCCTATTTCCATTTCTCCTCAAAATTTTCTATTTAAACTCACACACGACGAGAATTCATATCTATTCAGATACCAAATGGGTTGTTTTGTGCAAAAACAAGTTTTTATCAAACTTTCCCAAGTTCACAATTCAGTTTCAAAGAAAAATCTTCATTTGTAGAGCCCCATCTGTTTTCAACTGATTTCAAGGGAAATAAGCAATCCTATCTTAATTCTAAATATCTCAAATGACATGTCTTGGCCGAGAAAGTATCTCATTTTGGTTAAGTTCCAACAATTAAAATTCAGGTTACTCTCAGAGATGATTAAAGCTACTTTTTACAAATGTGAAACCACGGTTTTCATGAGGGGAAGGGGAAACAGTACAGAAGCGGCATATGGAGAAGAGGCACACGATGGTGGACAGGGACATAAAGCTGTGCATTCAGTACATGATTTTGGTCACTTTGTCACAACATGGTGGTTATTTCTTATATATCTTACTAAGCCTATAATAAAAGACAGTGCTACACCTACAAATCAAAACAAATTTCAATAAAACATTCATCTTTAAGTTTCATAAATATATGCAATTCTAATTATAAAGTGTCTACAATACATTTGCACATTTTCATAGACTAATACACAAACTCATGGAAGTCTCCTGTTATACTGTTAATTTTGCCTACATCTGACATTATCTTCATAAATATTCAATGAAGCCACAAAGGTACTGGAACTTTTGGAATCTATCCAAGTTTTAAAGACAAAAAGATCAGCAGCAATTCCATAAAACAGGAGGGTATCAATCCCTTACTTTCTTTTGCTTTTTGTGTCAGTTGTTTGAAAAACACTAGAAGCTGACATAAGGTTTTCTATATATTGTCCAAGAACTTGGTTTTCTGATTTTAGCTTCAGATTTTCTTCTTTAACTGCATCTACTCTTGCAGAGAGATCTATATAAAAAATAAAAATGCCATTATCAATAAAATGATGGCAATAATTCCATATTACAAAAGGTTTAGGATTCCATGCTTAAAAGGCACAACTCAATCCTTAAGTTTAAGGATTTGGATTACTTTAGAGAAGTTAAGGTAAACAAAGTTAACTGAGTGCAAATCAGCAGATAGTCATTCCTAAAAAGAGATTTCACATTAGACTAAATGTTATTCTTTGTAAAAAGCATTACTGTTTAATTCTTTAACAATTATTTTTTAAAAATTTAGAAACTGTGAATTCTGGTTCATGTCTTATCAACATAAAGCCGTAATGTCTTTACTATAAAGGTTTAAGGTATATAGTAAGTTAACACAACTGAATTCATACATCTAAAAGCAACTGGTTTCCAAGTAACTGACTACTTTGTATTTTAACGTTATCAAGAATTTGAAAAGATGAAGTTCTTGATGATGACATAAAAAATTTCATCTATTTTCTTATTTAACTAATATGCATTAGGTGCCCTCTAGGAGCCAGGTACTATTCTAAAAAAACAGGTGCACATGTGTGTGAGTCAGGAGCAAACATGAAATAAACAAGTAAACACAGAGTATGTCACACAGTGAGGAACTGATGTGAAGAGAAAGCAAGGAGGGTAAGGGTCATAAAAGCAGAAGGGCAGTTGCTCTTTTCAGTATTAGCTATTTTGATAAAGGGAATCTGACCAGAGACCAGAAGGAAGTAAGAGAATGAGCCAAACAACTAAGAGAAGAAGACTGGAGCAGAGGAGAACAGCAGCAGCAAAAACCCCGAGTAGAAGAACGCTTGGCACGCTGAAAGAACAGCAAGGAGGTCAGAGGCTGAGGTGGGCTGTGAGAGACAGAGAATGTGACATGACTCTGAACAGTAACAGGGAAGTCACAGATGGTTATTACCAGCTCTGTAAAGTGGGAAGCCATTGGAGGGTTGTGAGTTACACAACCTGCTTACCCTGATGCCAAAACCACAAACAAACAAACCAAAAAACCCAACTACAACCTCTTAATTTCCTTACAGACCAAAAGGTGTTTCAGTGGTAGTATAAATTGTATGCAAGACATTTAAAAAAAAATGTCATTCTCCTTTAATCTCCTAGGCTAACACGCTGTTTTTACTTTAAAACAGTCTTTATTAAGATGAACTCAGTAACACAATACAGGGACTTAAAAGGGGGTCATATACTAAATAGCATTATGTTAGACACAAAGAGGGAAGGATAAGAGTGTTACGTGACTTTCTTCTTGAAGCTTATTTGTTCTTTAAAACCACTAGCCAAAGCCACGGGCAGGAATGGCAACACATACACACACGTATACTGAAATGGATCTTGAAGTTTGTACTTTTTAAAATTATACACCTTAAAAAACAAAAAGTAGCAACATAATGCTTACAATTTCAATGAACTGGACGTCATACAAGAAAACAACAAAAGGCAAGCTAACCTTCAAGTGTGTGTTGGAGTTCCAACACTTGATTAATAAGTCGTGTTTTTTCCTCCAGTTCCACCTGATTTTCAGCATCAACTGCTGTAATATAAAGGTTCAGATTTACTATTAACATTAGGTACTATTTGCATAGTGTAGCACTTAAAAAATCTGCAAAATGTTCTATATGCATTCTTACTTTACTTACACAAGAGCTCTGTGAAGTAAAAAGTTATGTCTCCAAATTGCAGATGAGGACACAGAGAGGTAAAAATAAGATTTGTCAAACCTTCACAGTTAAGGAATAGAAGCTGCCTTAGATACTTTCTAAAACTAGACAGGATATAGATAAATAAATTAGCCAAAACCCAAACTTTCTAAATATTATTTCTCTGCTCTTTCCACTGCATTCACAAAACCAGAACATACAAAGAAGAAAATAAGAACATACCATCCATGTCAGCATTCATCATCTTGGGTAACAAAATTTTAGGCCTTGGATACAAAATCCTTTGTGAATGGTCTACAATAAGAAAAAGTTAGAAACATAAGACATTTATAGCAATAAAATATGTTTGTCAAAAGGTAATTTTGTCAAATATAACCCAAAAGGTTCCTTTTTATTTAATATTTCTAAGAATAAAAATAAATACATACCTAATAAGGGTAATAAGCAAAGGATACAAGTACTAGACACAAGTTTTAAATACATAACCTTTTCAGAAAGCAGAAAAATAATAAGTAAAATTCATAAAAACATTTAAATCTTTTTTACTAAGTATTTTACTCTTGGAAGTTTAGCCTAAGGACAATTACCAAAAAGGAGACAGTTATAGATATAATTTCTTTACTTCAACCTTATTTACAGCACAGTAAATCAGAAACAACATAATTATCCACTCAGAGTTTGGTAAATTACATCTGTAGTTTTATTTATGCATTTATATATATTTTATTAAATCATAGCTGTGTACATTAATGCAGTCATGGGGTACAGTGTGCTGATTTTATATACAACTTGAAATATTTTCACCAAACTGGTTACTATAGCCTTCATGGCATATTCTTAGTTACTGTGTTAAGACATTTATATTCTACATTTAGAAAGATTCACGTGTGCCCCTGTAAGATGAACCATAGGTGGGGTCACATTTGTAATTTCTAATGGAGTAGCTACTAAAATCACTATGATGACTATAACAACAAGAAAGAATGCTTATAAAATTGTACTCACTGATGTGACTCATGTAAAATATACATAAATATGGACAGAGAGAACACAGCAAAATGGAAAAGGCTCTGACATTAAGGATGACAGCAGAAATGAAGATAAAGCTTTATCAAATATTTTTTCTTGAAGTATTATTTTACATATACTGCCTAATTTTTTTGTATATATAATTCAAAAGAAAAATATAAGACATCTGAAACACTAATATGGAATAAATGAAATATGTCCACTTGTCACCTCCTGACCCACTAATCTGGATGTAAACAAATGAGTAAATATTAACATTTGGTTATTTTCATAAAAGGCCTCAAAATAATTATTACAGTACAAAATTCAAACAAAATATACTCTGTTCCATTGTTAACAATCATTTTAAACTCAATATGCTCAAAATGTGCTCAAAACTTATTAAATAATGCTACCAGATGTGCTGAAAACAGATTTGTTGACCAATCTCATCCACTACACTGAAGCAACTGAGCAACTGAGACCAGTCTTGTCAGTGTTACTCTCTCAATAAGAATTTATTGACTACCTTCTATAGCCAAGGCAATTTTATGCCCCCATATTCTAGACCAGCAGTTCTCAACCTGTGGGTCTTGACCCTCAAGAATTGTATTAAAGGGCCATGGCACTAGGAAGGTTGAGAACCACCGTTCTAGACAGTAGAGACCAGACCTACTAAACAAGGATGTCTACATACTGGAAATAGAATCACAAGCAAGAGATATCAGTGTACCGTATGTTCCCTCACAGCTTCATTTACACTTCAGGTCCCAATAATGTGAACATGGAAATAAAATGTCCAGTGTACATGTATATAAACTCCAGACATCATTTATTAGTCTAAAGAAAGATATTAAACATCCCTTATATAGCATTATTAAAGAATTAACTAAGTACAAATGGTATACCATAAACTTACTCATGCTTAATAAACTTATTCCTAGTCCTCTAGCATCGTTCCACTTATCTAAGTAGCAATTACAGTTGCTCTCTCCCTCCTCTTTTTCACATGGCTTTAATTCTCAGGTTCTCTGCACTTCAAAGATTAATACAGCTGGGTAAATTTTAATAATCTAAAACTAGATTTTAAAATTTATTTTTAAATAAAAGAAATTCTGCTACTATGTATCAATGCAAATCTGACCATACTTCAAAAATTATTTCTCTTCATTCAATCAACATGTCTTTTTATAACTGAAGTGGAAGAGTGTCAGCAGTGAAAACTTGATTTGACACTTCCCTGACGGAAGAGCATACTCCTGGCAAGGTGCCTGTCACTCTTAGTTTTCATACCATTACATCCACTGATCCAGATAAAAGATGAATGGAGACAACAGCCAAAAGGAAAAGTGAATGATACTGAGAGTACTCAGCAACAGTAAACTGTAATTTGGTTACTGTCCTGGCTAATTTTTTTAAGTATTTCTAATTTTTAATACCCAATGTTTTTAAGAATACAGCTAGAACAGAATTTTTTTATTATAGCTGAGAAGAGTTATAAGAGATACAAGCCAAAACCACAGATAATCACAAAACCAATACATCTGATTTTGACATCTGATACAGTACAGGGAAGGGATAATTTTTCTTTTGCTTGTGTTTTGGTCTAATATTAAAATTAAACCAAAGTCTTCTACAAAAGCACAAATGTTCCAAACTGACCAATGTAATAGGTAAAGAAAAACTAGTCAGCTGCTGAAATTTTTACCACATAATATGTATAACCCAAACAACACAAAATCTATGCATGGCTTTTCAACAGTTTCGCTTCATCTGAAAGAAGAAAAAATAAAAATCAGAAAAACAGCTTGGAGAGAGCTTATTAAAGAAAAAACTACTTTTATATTCAAGGTTGAAGTGGAGGAAGGAACACACAAAAACTTCTACAAGAACAGTGCTATAGACATATCACACAGTCTGACAGTCCGTTGGCATTACTATGTAAGACTGCACCCCAAGGGTTGTACAGCGTAAAACCTGCCCAACTCTGTGGCAGCACCGTGCAAAAGGGCTCTCTAATGAAGTGGACCAGAACATTACTGGCTGCCTCTCCACAACAAAAAAGTGCAACCTTCTTTCACTATAATGTGATTAAATAAACTGGCTTCAAAATGCTACTACTGAATATACTCAAAGACTTGACAATCATTCTAGAGCAATAAACATTTATTTTACATATGGGTTCAAAAGGTGTGTTGAGTTCTTTATGTCAAAATATTTTAGTGATTTTATTTTCTTTCAAAATAGGATCAATCCTCCAACTGCATAATGTCTACATTAACAAAGTACTATGTCATAATAGGTATTTAATACAAGGTTGAGTTTTCAATTATAAAATCCCTACAGCTGCTATAACATCAGTTCAATTCCATGTCAAATGTGCTCTCAATAGTTCATTTTCAACTCCTTCTGCTACTAAACATAAATGCAAATCTGACAAAAAGAAAATACAGACTACACTTCTCAATTGTAAGAAGACTGAAATAAATCTGGGGTGTTGAGGCTACTCTACCTATCCTAAATCTGCTTTACCTACCCCCCAAAATAGTTGTGGTCCCCCGAAATTCTTCAGTTTTGACCTACGTCTACATCAGAGCTTTTAAAGCTTTTCTCAAGAACTACAGTAAATTTTGGTGCCTATCTGCATCTGGCCTTGGTTAGTGGAAGAGACTCTTAAATTATTTTTGATAATTTAAGTCCAGGAAGCAGAAAGCATAGAGAGAAAAAGACCAGGAATTAGGACAAGATCCATTTAATTAAATTATCTTTTCCACACCTACACATCTGTAACCAAAGACTATTTGGTATTATCTCACCAAATATATATGCACCTCTACCTTCTTTTAATAGTATCCAAATAATAGCACAATATCCCTCTTCTGAAGTGATAGGGTAGCACAGTAATTAACAACACAGATTATCTGGATTCAAATGCTAGCTTTGCGATTTATAAGGTCTGGATTCTTGGACAATGTTAACATCTCAATCTTACATTCCTCATCTGTAAAATAGAGATAACAACAGTACATACCTGGTGGGTTTGTTGACAATTTAATGAGTTGAAACATACATAGTAGGTATTCAATAAATGTTAGTTATTCTCCTCTCCACCCTTTAGCTCTAATTCAGGCCACAAAAATAACTTTAGAAAAACCCTGTGGTCTAGCTGCCCCATTTTACAAATAAAGAAATCAAGGCCAAAGATGAGCATAGCTTACTGAAGCCTATGGAAGTAGCTACCGACACAGCCAAAACTACAGCAAACGTCCAAGGGACTTTCCACCATTCCCCCACAGCTACGCTCACATCTGAGGCTTGAGATTTTCACACTTTCCCCCTAATATCCGTCCAATTACAACCACCCAACTTTTTGGCATCTAAAACTGATTTTCATCATGTCATCTACTTAACAGCACATTACTAAGACTGCAAAAACAACGTCTATGAGCATTAATGTGCTTAATTCTTTACAAATATTTCATCAAATCAACATAAAGGAAACCGCAAATTACAGATGTGGACACTAAATCTCAGAAAGGCAATGTATCTTGCTTCAGGCTTTACAAATAGTGTCTGTACAAAGAACGTGCATCTCGGTCTAACTTCATATGCAGTGGAAGAGACTTTACTGTGAACCTAATCCAAGTTTGCCAAACAATTTGTCATCAGATGTGTGCGACTCTTTTTGCATTTTTACTCAGCAACTGATGACAAACTTCATTCCCCAGGCTTGCACCAGAATACACAGGCACAGCTCTGGGAACACCTGGAAGAGCATCTGTCCCCACTATTGTTATGTAATACTCTGAGACTGACACATTGTTTAACAGAAGTCCTGCCTTGCAGGAATGTATCTTTTAGTCCTTTGTAAACCTTACTTGTCAACACTTGTTCAGTAGTACTCTTGAGAGAAGTCAATGACGAAACAAACCCACATGCTGCTTTCTGCGCTTGGAAAGATGCCCCGTCCCTATTTTACCGCTCAGTAGCCTCCCCGCACACCTGGCGGTTCCCACCACCTTAGACTCTTGCAGAGCAGACACAGGCAAATCCAGCCGTGCCGGGTCCCATCCCACTAAAACGCCCGGGCCGCAGTCCCGTTCTAGAGCTGGGGGATAGAAAGGGGCCTGCGATTCAGAGGGGGCGAGGAGAAAGCCGCAGGGTGTCTGTATCAGGGACCACGGGTGCTCCTTCTCCAAAAGACCCTCTGGACCTGATTACGCAAAGGTGAAGAAAAGAGGTTGCGCAGGGGTTCTGCAGGGAGCCAGGCCCCCGCCGCCCACCGAACGCCCAGGCCCGAGCCGTGCTCCCGGGCCGCGATGCGCCGGGCCGCGTCCAGCCCGACCCGCCCTTCAGGTCCTGGCGGTACCGAGGCCACAAGTCCGGGGGCCTGAGGCCAGGCCCTCTGCTGCTCAGGACGGCCCTCACCTTTCGTTTGAGGCGCCGGGAAGTGGTAAGAACCAGAAGACACCCCAGGCCGGGACACTTGGACCAACTGACACCAACAGCTCCGCCCTCTCCGCCCGCAGAACATGCGCCGTGAGAGGAGTCCCCGCCCCGTCCCGCCCCGTCGCCCGCCAATCGCGGACTCTAGAGCGTACGCCTGCGCCCTGGCTGCCCGCCCCCTCCCGTCACCCGTGCACCTTTGCCATAACAAAAGGGCGTTGACATCCAATCAGGATTGAGGACGCTGCGGTCGGGCCTGGGAAGAGCAACAGCCAATGATAGCGCAAAAGCGGAGCGAAGCGCGGGGAAGCTGGCGGTGGAGAAGCAGCTGGTCTGTGGGTCTCCTGCGGAACCTGAATGTTGAAGTCAGAAGTCTAGTGTGGAAAATCAGGAATGAGGCTGGTGGAACCGAACGCTGGGCCAGAGAGAAACTATTCAAAAAAGAGCATTCATAGAACAGAAAAGGAAAGCCAGTACGGTACCGTGGTTCCTGAGTTCTAAAAGCACTCTTTTTCATATTTTTATTTCCAAAATCGGGAAGCTCATGGAGTACCACTAGTGTAACGTTATTCTCTTACAGTCCCCCTCAAAAACTATTATTCAATGTTTATTGTGCCTGAGCATTTGACATTTTAGAATTGAGAAAATACTTTAATAATTCTTAGGTATAGCCTTTTCTCTCACCTTATTCCTTATGCTCCTCACAGCAACCCACAGAAGGAAACTGAAGCTTAACAGTAAATACATTTCTAGTTCAAGGTCATACCTGCGGTATGAAATCCCATGTTGCTAGACTTAAAGATGTACTGTGATCTCCATGACGCTGTTCTTAGTAATCTAGCACTTGACACAACGCATCCTGCTTGTTTTTAATATTTGTTGAGTACAAGGTAGACATCCAAGCAACACGCTACAGTTTTGGCTTTGGCACAGTATCCTGAGCTGTGGAGAAGAGCCTTATGTCTCCCTGTTGCCTGACTTTTTACTTCTGGCACAATTTGCTGACACAGAGCCTTAATCCTTTTAAGGGCTATATTTAAAAAATATTTTGTTTGAGAACTATACTTTTGGCTGGGACTACAATACCCAATGTGAGGAAGTTTACTAGAGTGCAATGTAGGAGCTAAATAAATGAAAAAGAAAATCCAATATGAAGCTACTAAGAGTGCCAGAAGGAAAAGACTAGAGGAAATGGTTGCAGGTGGTATTCAAAAAATAATAACCGGGAATTTTTCAAGATTGTGGAATGTGTGAATCCTCAGAGTCAAGAAGTACTTACTCCTGAGCAGAATTAATATAAAGAATTCCGTGAAGTGGTGACACTGCAGGACGCCAAAGACCAAGAAAAACTATTAACATGAAATATTTTTGCTAGAATAGTTCCTTGAAATTTTTTAATTGTGTTGAAATGTACATTACATGAAACTTACCTTTTTTT